ACCAGAGCTTCCTGACAGAGGTGGCTAAATATCTCACCAAAGGACAAATCCCAGAAATTCCATAGCTTTGAGCCATGGTAGTTAAAGCAGTGACAAAGTGTATTAATTCTGCAGTGCAAAATAGACCTGAGTGTAACCAGACATTTTAGACAAGGAATTATTTTTCCCGTTGTGTCTCTGGGAGTTAAAGGTAGAAGGTCCTACTTACACATCTTAACTCTTCACGATAATGTTGTATAGGCTTTACTACACAAAGCTTTCCCCAGCACACATTTTTTATGCACACAAGAGGCGGGGGGGGGGGGGAATTATTCAGAAAGTGAAAATAATCCAGGTAAAATTTGGGTTGAATCTTTGTTGTTCACATTCATTTTGAATGAACCCAAGTAAAAAACTGGGGGTGGGGGGCTGCCAAAGCCCCCACTTAATCCGGAATAATTGATCTTGGGGGTTTTCCCGGAGTTTTGCTAAAAGATTCACATTTCAAAGCAAAACAGCTTCATTTATATACCGCTTCATATCGCGCTATGGGATGTCTAAGCGGTTTACAACTGTGAGCTGATTTGAGCTGTGTGAATAACCGATATGAACAGCAAATCTGGAATGCATGTGATTATTGCACTAAATAATAATAATAATCAACATCCGAATTATCCCAAGGATACCCTTTTATGTATCCCATTTTGCCATTTCTGTTCAACTGACTTATGAAAAGTGATGGAGCTATAATAGGTAAAAATGAGGAGGGAGAAGAATAACTGCACATCTCAGATCCTCTTGTTTCAGAGGTCCAAAGGAGAAGAATGGGTGGGCATTATTTTTCTCTTTTGAGGGATTTCCCAAAGCCTGAAGCCCCTTGAGTTTTTCCTATGAGACATCTTGCTACCTGTATTATGTATTGAGTTAGTCCAGCCTGCTGAAGCTCTTTCTGACTACTGTCCTCCTGGGATTAGTTTCTTTTCTTCTCTCTTCATCCCTTGAGCCATTTGTAAGTCCACAAACCTGTTCATTACAATCCTTTGTCACCCTTACCAGCTAACCTCTTCTGCCGCCTTTGCATTATATTGATGTGGAAAAGCCAGAGTGCTATAAATGGGAAGGTTTATGCTTGCTTTGGTGCCTGATTGCTCAGTTTGAATGCTGAACATCTGGACCAGCATGTCCCTAAATAAACTGCTGTCTTCAGTTCACTAATGCCTCCATTCTTGAAACAAATGGAACAGGGCAAGTTTTCACTACCATTTTTTCCACACTTTCATGAAACATGTTTCCCAACCAGGTTTTTCCATTCAGCAGCTAGCTTCAGGTATCTTTATGACTTTTGTTTCTTTATCTGCCTGCTGCTCTTTATGGTTATTGAGTCCATGCCATTGTGCTCAGCTTAATTTCCCAAACATGAGGGTCGTTCAGACTTTTTTTTAGCGCGGCTATCCAAAAAATCTCACTTACGCATTCCAATTTTGTTGTTCACACCATTTTTTTTATTGGAACCACATCTCTGTGCATCCTGCCTCTCACACATGTCAGCATTGCAAATAAAGATGGAGTTGATGATGTGGATGTATTTGAAACATGTTCAAGGTATGCAGAATCTTATCCCAGTTTATCACAGGACTATTTACATCAGTGATTCATGCAACTGACAATACAAATCTTTTAGGAAAACTCAGGGGGGAAACTCAAGATCGATTATCCCAGGTTAAGTGGGTTTTTTTGTCAGCTCCCCCCGCAAAAAAAACAACAACAAAAACTTATTCAGATGCATTCAAAATGCATGTGAACAACAAAGATTATTTTCATCGTCTGAATAACCCCGTGGTCCACAATAGAGATAAAAGTGATTTACATTGATATCTTCAGATGTAGGGCAGAATATAAATATTTTAATAAATGAACAAAATAAATAAGTTAATTGGTTATTAAACAAAGAAAAAGTACAGCACCTGTGATTAGATCATATCACATAAAATACGCAGTACATTAAATTTCTTGATAGACATTTCATAGGCTGTTTATCTATTAATTAGATACCATA